GCAAATCTAGAGCGTGTATTAACATAAACGTGAGGGAATGTATTCGCTAACTCAGTGACGACTTGATAACTTCTTCTTAAATATGTATAATATTAATCTCTCTATATTATATAAAAAAGTTGTTAGTGACTTTCATGTTTTGTTTTATTTTGGTATTAGGAGAGTAAGTGATAACAGGAGTTCAACTTATTAGGCGGTTATTTTGCAAATTAAACAGCTGTTGGTTTAATTACATATGTGTTGACCTTCTGTCACCTCCTACTATCCTTATACAAAATAAAGATTTTAGACTCAAACTTAGTGCGGGATATGGTATTGTTCATCTGGAGGTGGTAATTTGATTTAACTTAGTTGACAGCAGTTATTTTCGAACTAGATATTTCCGTTTGAATACAATATATTATTTGTATTATATTGTGATATAATTATAATTATTATGAAATAGAAAATGAAGCACAATATAACGTAAAATGAAAATATTAGAAATAAAAGGCTCAACGTTGATGTTAGGCTTATATGGACCTAGACAAGTTGAATATATTTTATTTTTACAAATTGGCAATAAGAATAATTATAAGTATATAATAATATAAATTGGCAATAAGGCGGATTTATAATATAAATATTTAAAGAAATAAAAAATATGACCGAATTCTGTTTTTGTTTAGTTCAATTTATGTTGATAAAAAATAATACAATCTGAACTACAGTTATATGCTTTGAGCAATGAGTAGTACAATTAAATGAGCAGTTGTATAATTTGTAAAATGGGGGCTGGTCCGCCGTTAGGCTGACAGAGGGTACCCTCCTAGTATTTTATTATTTATGAACTAAACCTCGTAAGTTTATCCCTCTTATCTCTGTTGAAGATATCTTCTTCCTAAGACTCCATCTTGACAAGCGCCTTTATATTATAAGACTAAAACGACAAGAAAGTGCTCATGAATTCCGATTATTACAATATTTAATTGACGAAGGTTGTAAATGTTCGATGTGCTACAAAAAAAAAAACCCTGCAAATTATTTCATAATGTTTTATTATTTCCAAACAATTATACATCTAAAGTAACATTTCCTTCCTAGTTACAAAGAAAAATAAATAAAAGGTGATTCCAATTATTGGATTAAACTTTTTTTTTTTTTAATTATTAGTAATATGCTAAAAAAAAAAAAATAGCATTACTTCAGTAACACATTCAAAATTTAAAAAACAAACAAACGATATAGCATTTGGAGTAGAAAATATAAAAAAGAACTGAAGACCATATCTGTGCTCCTAATTGTCCGATTTTAACGATTTTTTTTTTTTAGGAAATTCCGTGCACTTTTAAAAACAATAAACAAAATTTTTTTCGATCGCAATACTTACCCTTGCTATATATTACATATATACGTAAGTGAAAGTAAAAATATTTTTAAATCGCGATATCTCTACTAATAGTACCTTGATTTCGATGAAATTTCTTTTATTTTTTAGGCAATTTAAATACCTTTGAGACATCTTATCATAATACCAACAAAAAAGTTTAAACTTTTTGAGTTATTCGGAATTTAATTTTACCATCCCTCGTAACTTTTTTTCCAGCTTCTTTTCGTTGAAGTATGTTATATAGATAAATTTAAAGGGCATCGGGAAAATGACTTCGGCGAAGTTTCATTGAAATCGGTACATTCGTTTTGGAGCTACATTCTATAGCAACGCAGGTTTTTCGGCCGCCATTTTGAAAGTAAAAGGCGGATAGTAATGTCGATGAAGGAGGATTATCCTCGAGTGACCACTGATTTTATATCCAAATTTGAAAAAAAATCGATCCATTAGTTTCGAAGAAAATGCGCGGACGGCTGACGGACAAAAAAACGTTTATTCGTTTTTCGAATTCTGCGCACCCTGAAACGTGAAACCTCAAATTTTGAGAGGGGGTTAAATTTTTAATTTTTTGGTCGATCACAATGGTTGATTATTTGACATTACCATTCTCAGGCTAATTTGGACAAAGGGACTTGAGCTTGGGGCTTCATAAAATCATCGAAATTTTCCCGTACCCAGTCCCCACAAACCAAAATCCTCCATAGATTCCTTAAGGCCCCTTATTACGTTACAAACAAAATTATACATAAAAACCTGGATATTTAATTTGTTGTAGACTTGGTTCGAAATAGGTATTCTTCCTTTAATTCTAAACTTCTTGGTCACCCAAACCTTCTAGTTCGTAACCTTTCATCCAAAACTATTCCTGGCAATCCTCCGGGCCGTTTGAAAACAAGATGGGCAAGGTACCTCCTAAATTAATATATTTATTAAATTTATTATTTATTATTCTATTCATAGGTAGTCTCAGCATAAGTTAATATCATGTTTTATATGTATATAGCGGATTTAGTTATTATTTTATTTATACAGTTATAAATTTCAAAAAATAAATTTTTTTTAAAAGATACAATTTTGGAGGGATATTTTTCGTGTTTAATAACTTTAATCAATGACAGACTGAATAATTCTTTTTTGTATGTATTTTTTATATCTTTGTTGACAGGTACTTATTTTTAGTAGCGTTACAGTTACATTCACATACAACTTTTAAATCAGTTTACGGTGATATAATAATTAAATCTTCTGGGACATAACTCAAAAAGTTGTTACCTAGAGAATAAAAAATAACTTAACAGATAATTAATGGCAGCCTTTGTAAAACGAGGAAGTTAGGTATAAATTTACTTTATTAAAATAGAAACTTGATATAAATTTACTCAATGTTTTATTTAACGTAGAAACGAATTAATCCGCCATGGGAAGGAATGTTAATTCCTTCGTTGAATATTTGAATTTTTAGACCTTCAGGATGGGTTATTGAGTAATGGCTCTGAATAACTGAATATTTTCGCCTGTCACCGTTAAATTGTTATTATGCAACGTTTTTTTTTATAGGTTAAAATCCATTTCTATGCATCTCGCTGTTAGTGATTTAGATAATTTTCTGTAACTGACTTGCTTGTTTATTATGTAAAAGTAACTGGTTGTGGAATGTTAATTTTATGGTTTTCTATTCATTGAAGGAAGTTAGTCGACTGTTCTACACAACACGGGTAATAAATATTCAGGAGGGAGTCAGTATTTAAGATTTTTGTTGTTACCAACGTTTCAACCAAAGATGTTGAATCATCAAAGGAGTTCAAGTAGCGTACTTGAACATCTTCAGTCCTGGTAACACGTCCTGATGGTGACTCACAAGATTAGGTTGCGCAGGGCAGGCGCAGCAGAGGGACAGCAGAGGTGCAACAAAGGACCCAGTTCTGAGCCACCCCTGCTCAGTATGTGTTTATTTCCGATCAAAGCTGGCAAGTTATTTAAATAACTAATTATTTAGACCTTCAAATAAATATTTGTATTTAAATACTCAACTTAACTTAATAAATCTCTTTAAATTAGAGTATATAAATAATCATCATCATAATCATACCCAGTCATAGAAGAGAACAAATCCTGATAATGAATAAGCAGATAATCGACATATGTTTTAATAATATGCGTCACAGTTCGGACTAGTCATAACAAATGTTTTTATTAATGAAGAGAAGAATAGTTGGGGTGATCAGTCAAATAAGAAGGCAAAAATAAATGATAATATTTATTTTGACATTTGCCGACGTTTCGACCTGAAGTTCAGGCCATCATCAGTGCTAAGAAAGGAACCAGATAACAAGGCATGAGAGACATAAAAATGAAAGTAAAATGCAGTTGTTAGAATAATGACAATAGTAAGAACTAAGAGATAAATAATAATAACCGGTACAAAGTGTGAAATGATGAAGTGAACATAATCAAAAAGGTGACATAAGTATTGCAATGGGAATCTTAGAATAAAATGTAAAACAGAAAAATATGAAGTTATATAAGAAATGGAAATAAATAGTAAAATTAAGATATTGCGAATAGGATAGTTGGATAGAAAATTGAGATGTTGTAAAGTCTATCAAGATGTACATACAACGTATACTATAATAAAGAGTTAAAACAGAGAAAAGGAATGAAAGGAAGGAGGAAAGAAACTGAGAAGGTTGAAATCAGAAAGAGAATAAGAAAGGAAAAGAAAAGCACACCTCACTGCAATGAAGTAAATCGAAGCAATGATCATGTTGGTCAAGGAGGGGGTGGAAAGAAGGGATGTATAGTGGCGTCATCTCCAACGATTATCTGACGAAGTTTGAACTAAAGCACCGGAAGCGTAAATAAGGATGAAAGATGAGAGATATATTATTCATCATTACAAAGAGAATGAAATGATGAACATTCTCATCGCCAACTATATCTGGGTCCTATTTTTAATTTTTGAGATATTTTAATCCATTTGTAAAAAAACTTAAATTAGTCGACTGCAACCGACTTCACCCGAGCGTTACACATGGGAGATCTGACGGTTCAATCTAATTCACTCCACAAAAAACTGCAAAACGCGCCTAAAGAAGTTTTCACTTCTAAATGGGATTGAAAATCCACAGTAGAGGATAGTTACACTCAAACAGCTGATCATAAAGACAAATTAAAAAATCAAAATAGCTGGATGTATTAGACTTATTAAAGATGTTCTAATCTAATTTCTAACGTAAATTTTTTTGTTTTCTACCTGCGTTTCAAAGACATGGCTGTGTGGTTGTTTCTTTCCAATTCTAACCTAACATTAGTGAGAGATATAAATCGATTCATTGAAATGAGCGAAAGATTTACCTCATTTCAATGAATCGATTTATGACTCGTTAGAATGAAATAGTTTGTTTGTAATTGCTTAATGGGGTAAAATTCTCTGGATCATATGTTAAGTCATAAACCTGTACATGGAATGAAAATGTTCTTGATTTGTTCGGACTTCTCGATGTCGTGCCTTTTTGTTTTTTCTGTTGATGAACGGGTTATCCATGCGTAATTTGTAGACTAACTGTCTCAATATTATTTTTTTTTTTCAAATTTGTTTTTATATCGAATAAATAAATTCGAATGTTGTTACCTATGGCGTTGTGCAAGGGCTTGCCCGTCTGGGAGTCCCATGCGACGGTAGTCTCTCTCTGGTTGGTGATGCCGACGGCCTTGATGTTGCTGATAGAGAAGCCGCGGTTGCCGACGAGCTTGGCGACTTCTTCCATGGTGTCTTTCACGGCTTCCAGGATCAAGACGGGGTCCTGTTCCACCCAGCCCTCCTTGGGGCAGATCTTGGAGATGGCTATCTGATGGACGGCGACCATCCTGGAGGTCCGCATGGAGAACACCTATTGGGCAATAAGTTTTATTATTGGACAATTATGTCTTGAATGATAACGAAAATTGAAACACGAAAATCGATTCTAAACAACTTTTTTTAAATTTCTTAATGGTATTTACAACTATTAAATAAATACATCTAGTAAATTTGAACATAATGACATAAAAACACTTGCTGGGTAACTACCCAATGGTAGCACTCTAATGATATGTCTACATTAGGAGATCACGGGGCCATCTTCTTTTCAGACGCCTCGGAGAGTTATCAGGAATTGAAGAGGAAGCAAGGTTAGAAACGAGAGGGTTGGGATGATTCTGAATTTTATTATGGAAGGATAGGTATATCGATTGGGACAGATCTGAAACAAAAGAAACCGTAAGGTCATTATGGATGGTTTTGTTTGTAACAAAGTAGGGAGGCATTGAGGAGCATTGATATTAGTATTTTGTATTTGAAATATATTTTATGGAAACAATTTAAATTGAATTTTGACATTGTTAAAGTTAAAAAATACTCACCTTGTTCATAGTTTAACATCGATAATATATTAAATAATTATACTTTTTTTTTTTTTACGAAGGATTTTGGATTGTAAGGATTGGATACGAGAGGAATTCGATGGTTTAGTGGAGCCCCATAGCTCAACTCCGTAAGTCCAAATAGGCCTTATTATAGTCAAGTATATGAGTCTTTTGTAATTAATTGGATGTTTATAGTGTTTGTCTAGTAAGTGTTGAAGTAATCGGAAACGTCTAGCGGTTTCTTGTCGTTTCAGTCTAGTATGCTAAACAACTTTAAACTGAACCTATAGAAAGAAGTCCAGTTTATTATTAATATTTTTATAATTAATGAACGTTTATTAACTAAATTCCCAAAACCTGAAATTCACTCCCATTAATTTTGTTTTTGCCTCCTCATTTCGAACACCTAAGATACATTAACCCGTATGATTAAACGTTTTATTGTTATTATTTGTTTTTACTTAATAACGATCCATACCAAATGTTGATTTAAGTTGGGAACCGTGTCACATTTAATATGTGACCTAAAGACATTTGGTGGCGGTGTCTGATTGATGGGTGCCAAAACCCGTGTGGTTCGAAGCCAAAGGATTTGCTACAGCCAATGACACGTCTGACAGAAATGGATCATGTTCCAATGCGCGTTATTATTAGGGCATTAACATGATTACGATTGTAATTCTCATGTTAATTAATTCAATGATAACTCCGAACGATATATAAATAAATATGTAAACTTGGGCAATATTTCAAATAAAGTATTTTTTAAAACCATTTAAGGAAGTAAAATATAAAATAGATAGTTTGTAACTGTATTTTCTTTTTAAAATACTAAAATGTATTTTATGTTGTCTTTTAAATACACAAAATAAGTTACCAAATAGAAAAGATTCTCGGTATTTATAATTGGAATCATAAAAAAATACTCCTTTTTCCTTTTTAGTTGGAAATTTTAAGTAAATTATTAAAAGGTGGAAGTTTTTTATTGTCATACTTTTAATAAAAATAATATTAGTATTTTGTATTTGAAATATATTTTCGGGAAACAATTTAAATTGAATTTTGACATTGTTAAAATTACAGAATATTCACCTTGTTCGTAGTTTAACATCGATAATATATTAAATAATTATACTGTCCCCGCTGGTAGATCCTATAAGCTGGGGCTTGAAAGATTGAAAGTAAAAAATCTGGTGCGGTGCCTCACACAACTTTCACTTACAACCCTCTTCTTAAAAGAAATAAGTATTTTGAGACAAAGGGGAAGAGAAAGTAAAAATTATAGAACCTATATTTATTTATACTTCATTATGGGTATTTTATTGGTATAAATACCCTAATATATACAAATTTTAATATTTATATCGCTGTCATCTATACAATTATATATTAAATAATACAAACAATAGTATTTATGAAAGCTAGCTATGTATATTTATAGAATATCGTCGGAGTTCGTATTATATTAATCTAATGATAGGTATGGAAGCGTGTTCTAATCTTTCTTCGCTCGTATTCCTTTGGTTCCCCGATGACAACTATTCTCTGTTACGATCTATTATTTCTCCTTTAGTTATTTATCAAATTCTTTTATATTTTATATTTATCTATCTTTTATATTAGAAATTAATGTGAAATGGTCAATTGTTTCAAATAAAAAAAATTATAGATACTTTAGAGGAAGCTGATATTGAAAATTAGCCTTTTAAGCCCTGTGAGAGAACATCAATCAGAATAAAAACCGCTTAACTTTACTCTGATATAATGAATTTAATCAAAATAGTTAGAGCCGTTTTCGAGGAAATTGTAAAAATGTGTTTAGGCCATGATATAAAGTGCCACTGCCGCTTAGCCGATTTCGACGAAAAACTTGTTGTTATATCCCTAGCATATAAAAGCGTTAAATATGCAATTTCACTTTCGTACGACTTTTCGTTTTTGAGTTAGACTGTTAACACACACAGACCATTTTGCGGGACTTGCTATTTGGACTCAGGGGACCTCAAAACGTTTATTTCCGTTGAAAACTAAGATTCGGAAATTTTTCACGATCGCAATACTTTCTTTTACTATATATTTCATATATAGGTAAGTGAAAGTAAAAATCTAGTGCTGTTCGCGCATCTCACAACTTTCACTAACCATTCTCTTTTTAACAGAAATAATATTTCCAGACAAAGAAAAGTAAAATAAAAATTATAGATGGTACGAAACATTATTTAAAACAATTAATTACGATATGTTTTTCACAGCCGTCTAATGTATTATATTTATTTTGTTTGACATCGAAAAAGGAAGGCCTAAAAATATTGAACCGGTTTCAGCTACGTTATATTGTATTCATTTTTTAATATGATTTCTATAAACGTTCACATTGCTTTACTTCATTAAACAAATTGTACCATTGTAATTTCTCTGGCCGTTTTTCAGAACAATTACTGTAATTCATAATTTTCTTTTTTAATGGAGATATTTAAAGTTGTATGGATGAACACACCACATTTTTCTATTTACTTTTTTTGCTATGAACCAAGAGAAAATAGTTACATTTTTAAAAACATCCAAAAATATTTGGCTAATAGGTGTAGGAAGCGGTAACTTAACATTGTTGGTTCTTGAATGAATGCACATATATTAACTTTTAATTTAAAATACAGAATATATTTTGTTTTCTTTTGTAATTATCGAGATACTGATTAATATAATGGACGTGTTAAAATAATTCTGAAATTATAAGGATGCCATTGTGCAATTCGATCTTTTCCCTGACCTTGTGATCTTTTGTTGATCACCTCATTTAAATTCCTTCCTTTATAATCCTTCTAGTGTTGTGTGCTAAAAGTATTAGCAAATATATCAAATAAGAGTTCAAACTCGAAATGAATGATATAAAGCTGACATTTTGCACGATTCTTTATTTTGACTCATATTATAAATATCGGCTAAAAAACCTGGCATAAAATAGTGTCGGCATTATATATATATATATATATATAATATATATATAATATATATATATATATATATATATATCACTTATTAATCACTACAGACAATATTTTAAAACTAATATACAATTATGCAGTATTAACAATATATATACAATATTATGCAGTATTAACAATATATATATATATATATATATATATATATTGTTAATACTGCATAATATTGTATATATATTGTTAATACTGCATAATTGTATATTAGTTTTAAAATATTGTCTGTAGTGATTAATAAGTATACTGTGTTTGAAACAACCCAATGTAATTGGGCAGCTTCCTTTTGTGAAAATAACGTGATTCTCTCGGCAAAAACTAGATTAACTGTTTTGTTTTTTTATGCCTTCTGGAATTCTGGAGAACATTTTCAATTGGCAGAATACACATTTTCACCGTTTTTATTGAATCCTTCAATTGAAAGACTAGTCATTTTATGGAATTTCGTGATCTTTTTAGGTTTTGTAAAATAGCTTGGTTTGAACTGGTGGTTAATACTTTTGTATTGAAACGTTATTAACTTTTTACTATCATTCTGCTTAATTAGAAAATGTATAAAATAATTTATAAAACTTATTCTACTTCGAATCTTTTTCTCTTTTTGTTTATCTTTGTCTTGTTTTTGTCGTTTGTCTTTGTCTTTTTCACAAAGATTGCGATTTAAAAAAACTCAAAAAATTGATTTCTTACTACTTTTTAGGAGTCGTTGTTAAAAATAAATTCGTATTAATTTAAATACAGCCATTGTATGCCTAAAGGTAGTTGGAATATATTTTAATTATTTTTATCTCTTATAACTGGACATGCTCTCTCAAATTTTTTTTTTTTTTTTATATTTGTTTATTTAGAAATATTACATTCTGTCACATCAAGGACATTTGTAATAGTGTTCAGAGAACACACTCACACTCTATTTACAATAAATAAAAAAAAAATAATAATAATACAGAAACTTAATAATAATAAATACAATAAAATAAAATAAAAATAAATACAATAAAATAAAATAAATGTATATAAACAAAAGAACTAACCTAATCATACACACTCGGGCTTGAGTGGAGGATCTGGCCATTGCCAAAACTCCAATAGATGCTTATTTACAGAAGGTCTCTGGGCCACTGCCGCTTCAACCTTCGAGGAGGATTGTAAGGATGGGTGGTGCTGGATAGAGATTGTGCAAGGGGATTTGGATGATAGGTAAGGTTCTGGTGAAATTTGGAGAATTTTTCTGGAATAAGGTCTAGGACAAATGGGATATTAAGGTCATGGTGTAGGATTTTGTTATTTACATAGAACGGAGCATCAACTATTGTTCGAAGGACTTTAGATTGAAAGGATTGAATACGTTTGATGTTAGAAGCTTTTGCTGTCCCCCACAGTTCAAGTCCGTATGTCCATATAGGTTTCAGTATTGTCTTGTAGATAAGTAATTTGTTTTCAATAGAAAGTTTGGATTTTCTGTTTAGTAGTCTGTATAGCTGGCC